ATCTTTGCTGTGATCCTCTTCTTGATGGGGATCTTCCTCATTGTCGGTGAGTGTCAAACTTTCTACCATTCTCAGAAAGAGTTATACCTTTGTATAGTACTTGCCATCAAATGTATAGAATATTTTTTGTAGATATTCGTCTAAGAATGTGTCCTCACGCAGATACAAATATCGGTTACTGAGGGTAGACTGGTTGCAGGCCAGCGTGTCTTTCATAACCTCTAAGACACCCAACCTCTTTTTTTTAAACCTCTCTACGACACCCAACACCGCACCATGAATTATGGTGTTCCACCAGTGCAGAGACAAGCAGCCAATCTAACCTTTGACACTCTTACTCTGAAACCCCCACCAGCCCTCATAAATTACTAACGAGAGACCCTGTTGACCTGATGTTATATAGACTGAGTTTGATCACAACAAGTGACAGTAGTTTGGTTTTTGTGTACCACAGCAACATAGGCAATCTCTAAAACACCATGTGTTTGTGACTGCTTTTCTCTTGTATATTTTAATAAACCACCAGTGGTTTGATCATACTTCTGGCTTGTTTCCAATAGGTCGGAAATGCCGCTGCAAAGGGAACAAGTCAAAGTAAGTAGCAAAGAAAACTAATGCATTTTGTTCGATGAAAATATTTAGGCTAAGCTGTGGTAATCCAGTCATTTTAACAGGAATTCATGCAATCTGGAATTTTGCATTAGATCAAAAGATTTCACCATCCATATTTCGCAACAGGTTTGATTTGGTCACACAGATTCGCCACATGGACCAACAAAAATCTGCTTGCTTTGATTTCTGCTTGATTTCTGTGTGATCTGTGCTTGATACAATGCTACACTATTGACAATAGACAACTGACCCTTTTTGCCACAATTTTTTATAATATGACCGCATCTGTTCCAATGATGCGACTAGATCAATAATCAGAGATCACAATATAATGTCTATTTATTTTTCTGCTCTTCAGGAAATTACCTTTTGACTTCTCTTTTGTTGTCTTTTTCCTACTTCATAGGCCAGTGGGTATTGACACAGAGGCAGCCAGAGGTGAGAATGTTCAATTTTATTATAGTTATATAATATATAGTTTTTATATTATATTATAATATTATAGTTCATGACACTTAAAAAGAAACGGACATTTATGATATTTTTATTGCAGGTGCAAAATAAAGTAAGCTGAGGGAAAGGTGACTGTCTCTACTTTTGGATTCGTCGTAAAGTGTTATACTGTATATCCTGCATAATTTTTTATGACTGTATATCTCTGTTTTTTGGTTCCTCTTGACAGAAAGCATGGCTTCTTAAGGAGAAATCTTAATCAGAACTTTGACCATTTGGAAGAAGAAAAAGTCACTTGAGGATTTAGTTCTTCTAGTGTTCACAATTTAAAAATTTGTATGTCTTTGTCTCTGGGTACATGAGAGTATGAGTGCTCCTTTTTAAAATTTGAAGTTTTAAAAATATTGTTTAAATAAAAGTGTTGATTATCAGCTAGAACTACTTTGCCGTAATGTTTAACTCAGCAGCTGATACCTTTGAGATTTTCCTTCACTTTTTGTCATGTACCTTTCAAGCTCTCTGAAGTTTATGAAATACATGGTGTTGGCTAGTATGTCTAAGTGCTCAGTAGCTAAAAGTAGTAAGTAGGCATTTTATATATTTTGTAAATTGTCCATAGAGTTTTGTCACGTCGCAGAAGTAACAAAACAAACTGTATACTGTAGTTGAAAAATAAAGTGATTTCCATGGAATGTCTGTTAAGTGTCCTCGAGAAAACGTAACCGTTATATAACGTGTGCTTGGCATCTGCCCTGGTCTGTCTCTCATATTCAGTCTGTGTTATAAATAGTTGACCCTGTTATGGACTCAGTGCACGGCCCACTGCCTACGTATTTCCGCTAAAATCTCAGTTGTATTGCGAGCTTCCGGTTTAGCGTTCTCCGATAGCAAGCTGTGGTAATAGCGTGGTCTTTGTCAAATTTTTGATTAACTAGT